GGGGGGGGGGAAACAGGGCAAGGGTATTTTGGTTTGAGGTAGATCTTACAGTGCACTTAAATTGAAAAAGTGATCTTGTGGTTAAAAAGGTTGGAGACCACTGGTCTAAAGGCTTTGGAGTGAGATGGTACAAGACAGAGCAAGGAAAAGTCAAACACTAAGGATCAAAACAAAGGCCCAGAAGCCTTGCCTTTGGGGTCATCAAGCCATCTGAAGAAAAACTGACATTCCAGTCAACAAGATTGAGGGGCTTGGAGAGAGGAAGTCATGACATCAAGAAATAGGCTGTTCCAAGCCTTTTACCAGTCTTTCCCAGCATCCAAAGAACGCCTGCTAGTGAGAAATGCTGTGCCAACAGAACATCACTGCTTGCTTCCTTAAATTAAATTCCAGCTCCTGCTGGCCGGAGACTTGCAAAGGCTACAAGAGCTGAAAATTTCACCAACTCTCTCTCCCCCATTATTAAACATCCCATTTTCCCTATTTCTAATGGCTTGTTTTGATTGGCCAGGAGAAAGTCCAGTCTTTTTATTTTCTTTATTTGAGGGTGTGGAAGTGAAAGCATAGCTGTGGGCTCTCAAAGCCCACCCTGAAGAGGTGCTAAAAAGAAAAGGTTTAAAGAACCTTAAAAATCTCATGGAAGTGTTCGTTAAAATGTGTTCTGCATGTAAAAATCCTCAAGTAAATAATTCTTAAACTTCTGCTTACTGAGACTGTTCTGTTAAGATACCATATAAAAATTGGGACTCTTTGAAGGGAGTTTTATAATTGGTCTGAAGCTGAGATTCAGACATTCAATAATAATTTGGTTTCAGTTTTAAAATACTTAATCACTCAAATGATAGACTTGATTGAATTTGGTCAAATTCTCTACCAAATGGACTCCCTTTCTTAGACTCTTTAGAATTTTTACAAGGATTGATCATTTTGCTATCAATCTGATGATTTAACTCTAATCCAATAGTAAGGCCAAATGGATTTGTTGATCTGAGTCTGATTTATAATGTTTTAATCTTCACTTAGTTTAATATTAAATAGCTTACACTGGTGATACATGGGCCTCATTTTCAGAAATGCTGTGCACCCAAATTGAAGTCTACGAGAGCTACAAATGCTGAGCACCTCTGAGAATCAGGCCCAACATGAGTGGATAGACCATGCAAGCTCCTCTAAAAGCCAAAAAGTTTGGGGGGGTGGTAGGGGGAAACAAACTCCAGAACAGAGGAATTTTCACTGGCCTTAATATTACATTTTTATATAGCTAAAATTTTCCACTAGGGCAAATACTATTTCAGCTCCATTGATAGCAGCAAACATGCAGACAAGGTGCCGGCTTTTGGTAGTGTTTTCATCACCCTGGCATGTAGTCATGCTCTGAGCAAATTAGATGAGACAATAACTGGAGAATTGGAAGCTGCCTGGAGCCCTGTCTATTCTAGGGTTCCCACCACTGCTACCTGAAATGGAATTGAAACAGTAGGGAGTTGACCCCCACCCAAAAATAACCCACCCATGCTGCAAGGAGCAATCACTGAGAGTGCACTGATTTGGTGGGCTTTAAATATAGCAAGACTAATATCTTTATGAGGTTTGCCCAGGAAAAAATATAATAAAAACTAATCAAATGCATCAATTTAAAATTGGTGCAATTATTTTCTGATTTATTCCCTTATTTCATTTCTTTAGCTCTATTTTTTCCTTCTATGTCCACTTCACTCTATCCCTTTCCTTTCAAAACCAGCATCTCTTTTCCTCTCATTCTTTCCTTCATGTTGTCCCCATCTTCTGGTCCATCCCTTGCTTTCTTCCACATTGCATTGCTTCATCATCAGCTCTCTCAGTCCCCTTTGCTTCCAACATTCTCCTTTTTCTGCTTCCCTTGTTTAGCTCTCTCAGTCCCCTTTGCTTCCAACTTTTTCTGCTTCCCTTGTTCCCATCTGTGTCTCATTCTGTTGCCATGGTCCTGTCCCACCCTAGGACTCTCGCTAATTAATATACTAATACTTATGCTTATACTGAACTAATAAACATAAATTAGTCACATTATTCTTGAGGTAAGTAAATATTTTACTGGATCAAATTCAGCCCTTTCGAATGCAGCTAGAACTCTTACTACAGTGAATGGGAGAAGTTACACTTAACTCTTAAGGGTGTTGAGACTGTTAATACAATAATATTTTCTGTGTAGGTTCACAGGACCTGGCCCGCTACCATCATTGCACCAGGAAGGTTAAGAATCTAAACCCACTATAGTTAAGACACTTCAAAATGTTTAAAAGACTAACATCCCCTGACTTGTGCCACATAGGGATAGAGCAGGTATGAAATCCTACAAAGACAGAAAGGTAGCACTGTACTTTATGCCTACTTTGCACAGGTATAATTGCACCATGTGCAAGCAGGTTCCCCACACATTGAGAGTAGTTGAAATGACTGTTAGAAGAACATTAGTAATACTTAGCTCAGAATAGCATGTCTATAGCTTGTGCAATGCGGCCAAGTTAATACTGCTTTGGGAAACCATTATTAGTTTGCTGATTTGTGTGTTGAAACTCCCCGCCCTTAACAATGCAGTAAGGTGAATTTTAAAAAATTAAATTCTCTAAATACATCAGGTATTATGTTGTGATTTATCTTTATTTAAATGTCATCTACTAAACAGTATCTAGTGCTTATATTTGTATAAAGAGCAACAGATATTTAGTCTGATAAGTCATCATGGTTGTTGGTAAAGGCTCTGAACTGGGATTCAGGAGACTCAAGTTCTCTTCCTGCTCCAGCACAGGCCTGGTGGGTAACATTTGACAAGACACTTCACCTCCCTGTGACTCGTTTTCCCTCTTTCCTTTTTGTACCTGGTCTAGTTAGGTTAGGCAAACTCCTGTCAAGGATGGTCTAGGTTTACTTAATCCTGCTTCTGCACAGGGTGATAGACTAGATGACCTTTTGAAGTCCCTTCCAGTTCTTCTAGAATTCCGTGATCATAAACTTTTCAGGACAGGGACTGCCCCTTACTATGTGTTTGCACAATGCCTAGCACAATGGAGCCTGTAATACAAATAAATAAAAAATAAATGTCAAAAGGATCTCCTTTCAAAAGCACTCCTGTCTTAAAACCAAAGAGCCACTCCATTCCTAAACCACTAGTAACAATAGATGAATATAGAAACATCTGAATGAGACATAGAATCATAGAATACTAGACTGGAAGGGACCTCGAGAGGTCATCGAGTCCAGTCCCCTGCCCTCATGGCAGGACCAAATACTGTCTAGACCATCCCTGATAGACATTTATCTGACCTACTCTTAAAATATCTCCTCAGATGGAGATTCCATAACCTCCCTGGGCAATTTATTCCAGTGTTTGACTACCCTGACAGTTAGGAACTTTTTCCTAATGTCCAACCTAAACCTCCCTTGCTGCAGTTTAAGCCCATTGCTTCTTGTTCTATCCTCAGAGGCCAAGATGAACAAGTTTTCTCCCTCCTCCTTATGACACCCTTTTAAAACCTGAAAACTGCTCTCATGTCCCCCCTCAGTCTTCTCTTTTCTAAA